TTTTCCTTGCTTGTTCTAGATTTTTCCTCATCTTCCTACACCTGTCTTGTCACGTAGCCTCTTGCATGTGTTGTGCAAAATGCCAAAACCACACGGCTAATGCTCACCTATCCCACTTAGTTACTATACATGCCTTCCACCTATCTTGTTTTTCCTTTTTATTTTTTGTTTTTCAAAACAAATTTAGGGTAAATAAAGTGTTAATTCCTAATTGAGATTGCCTTACAAAAATTTCATTTTATTTAGAAGAAATTGAGTTTGAAAAGATTAAAAATAAATTTTTTGTTGAGAATTTTCTTTTTCAGAAATTTAATGCAAAAATAATTTTTAAAAAAGAAAAATGATGAACCTAATTTACTAAAATAAATAAAAATAAACACTAACTATCATTTTGCAAACTTAGTCAACTAAAATAAAATAAAATAAAAACAAGAATAAATAATAAAAAAATAAAGATAAAATTGAATTAAATAAAATTGAAATTTTGATGTCTACAGCTTGCCCCTCTTTGTCTGAATTTCGAAGAAACTCGAGACAAAGATGTAGACATCAAATATTTATCTGTAGTTATTTTGCCGTGAACTGAAACAAGCAAACATGTAAAGATCAGTGGGATAAATCTCAAACCTGTCGTAATAATTGGTCAGTGGGATAAAACCCAAACCTGCCATAAAATTGATCAATGGGATAAAACCTGAACCTGTTGTAGAAATTGGTCAATGGGATAAAATCCGAACTTGCCATAAAATTGATTAGTAGGATAAAACCCGAGCCTGCCGAAAAATTGGTTAGTGAGAAAAAATCTAAACCTGTCATAAAATTGTTATAGAATCCCTTTTGTAGAACTTCGAAAATTTTGATGGAGACAGATGACTTCTTCTATAAAGATTTGTCCCAATGTGATACTATTGGACCTTTGGACCTGCAAAAGAGGAATAATGATAATGACAAAATAATGCCACTACCATCTGATTAACCTCACTTTCGAGAAATGTGTAAACATGAGTATTTGAACGTTCTTCTCCGCTGTAGCAAAAACTCAACTTTGCTTTGCGAACTGCATCAAATTTTCTTAACTTCCAATGTTAATCAAGTATGCCATTTGGTATCCAGATACTTTCAATAAATCACAGGGATTGCTATTTGATAAATCCAAAGAAATAAATGAGACCATGAAACACAAGAAAATGTGAGGACCCGAATTTTTCTTACTTTTAATTCTATTTTACTGGTTTATTTAATTATTTATTCACCCATTTTCTCTGAATAATTTATTTCAACCATTTTGAATCCGTTTGCATGGAACAATGTCTCACTTATATTTTTAAAACGTTCCGTTAGTAAAATTAATTTTCTGCGACTCGTTTGGTAAGGAATAGCGAATACACATTTTTCGAGGCAATATTCGATTCGAGACTGCAATAATCTTGGAGAATTAAGAATGATTAATAGTATACTAAGAAAGGTTAATTGAGGGATTAGATGTGAGTGAATTAAAATTAAACTTTTATAGCGTTCGAATCAAAAGTTTCTCGTGAGTCGTGCCGGTCCGATTTATTGGTGAATTGAGAAATTTGTTTTAGACTCGTAAAAATGAGTAATTACAGTATTAAAGAAATTACATTAGAGGATTAGTGCATGAGTGTATCAAAGCCGAGAGAAAGTGGTGGTACGAAACACTAGCGCGATACTATTGAGAGTTGACTTTGGTGCACTCTTTATGGCTACCTTTTTCATTCTTCCCTTCCAAGCTCATTGTTTCAGCCTACCAAGAAGAAAAGAAAAGGGAAGAAAGAAACTTCATCTCCTAACTTCAATTTCACTTGCAAATCTTCATCCAACTGCATAGATTCTTGGGTTTTCATTCCATCTAGGAGAAATGAGCAATCTTGTGGATTTTCTTGGAGAAACTTTGATGAAAAAATCTGGTCTTCATCTAGGGTTTAAAGGGTAATCACTTCATCTCTTTAATCTTTCCAATTATCCAAAGTTTAACGGTTAATCTTCATGGGTTTGAAACCCTAATCGCGTTTATATGCTAGCGGACTTGAGGAACCATTTATCTCGCTTTAAATCATAGGCTAGCTGTCTTGATAAGACCTCTAGGCAGCTGACTTGAGGTTTGATTGTTTGGTTATGGTTGTTTATGTGATGAATGAGATGATTATGGTTAGAAAGTGGAGAGAAATCGAAGGAAAGTTGCAAAAGGAAGCTGGCTGAAATTCTGGTCATGTTGTTCTGCTTTAGTTTTGAAATTTTGATGCTTGGTTGATTGTTAAATTGATGGATATATGTTGTATTATGTGTATAGAAAGTGCCTTTCGAATATCGTGTCGAATGGTTGCACAAAACTTGAGTTTTGGGAAAAGTTTCAAATCTGGAAATTGCTAGCAGGGTAACTGGGCAGTGGCCCTTTGCTTGAACATAACTTTTTGTGCAAAATTCAAAATTGAGTGCCGTCATGGGCATTCAAAACTAGACATTCAGATTTTCCAACGGTATAAAAATCTCCTAATATTTCATTTTGAGTGATCCGTAGCGAATCGGCTGTTCTGTTTTGACTGTCTATTCGAATGAAACTGGGAAGCTGCACCTTGTGGCTCAATTTTGTCCCACTTGTGAAAAGATTTTCAAAACAATGTCTTCTGATAAATTGTAGCATTTTGAACCTAATTTCCAACGCCATAAACTATTCTCAATTTGGACTTGTATAGAGTTAGATATAGTTTGATTTCGAAACTGCGACAAAGCTGGAAACTGAAAAATTTTCTCTTCCCTGTTGACCGAATGGCCAAGTTTGTTTTGGGATGTTATATTTTGAAACTTTTAGTGTCATTTAACCATCAATTTCTAATTAAATGTTTCTAAAATCGTGGTTTCAAAAATGGAGCGAATTGGGGCTGATTTCGTTGGACAAAATTTTTGAAAAAAGAAAGAGAAATAGGATGGCAAATTTGCTTTGAAAGATTTCACAAATTTTGATCGTTTTGTTAGCTGCCTTCCCGTGCGAGTTTTTATCTAAATTTTGATAGAGAGGTAGCCCATATATGGAAGTTTAAGTGCACCAAATTTGGTGTAATTGCAATACCATTTCGAGGCCCAAATAATGCCCCAAACATTGCTCCTCAAATCTGGAAATCCTCTAGTCAGGTTGTAAAAATCCACCGATTTCAAACTGTTATATCTTGTTGCTCAAAACTCCGAATTTAGTTGCTCTTATTGTGTTTGAAACTTTATTTGGAACTCTTATTGTTTAATAAATTTCAGAGGCTGATTCACTTTCTGTGAATTTTGCCGAATTTCCAAACATCGCTGAAAACCAAGACTGGTTCTGTCTTATCTTCTTGAATCTGCAACTTTGAGTTGAAATTTGAATACTTTCGAGTTGGAATCTTGGAAAAGTGTTTTTTGAGAGCTTTTAGTAATTTTAATCTAATTTCAAACAGTGTAAAGTTTCCCATTTTTTGACATACCAAACACAAGATCTAATTTTTCAAGTTTTGTCGCGTAAAGCGGAAAATTTTCGATTTCATAGGAAATGAGTTTTTAAGAACTTTTCATTTCCTTTTGATATTAATAGACCATTTTAAACTTGATTTCATGGATGATTCAAGTTTCACTTGAGATTTTAAATTCTCATTTTTGAATCTCGATTTTTGAGAGACTAAAGTTCTCTTTTTAAGACATTATCCTATGTCTAAACAAATGCACTTTCTTCCTCGAATGATAAGTGGTTGTGAGTATATGTGAGTGATGGTTGGTCACTATTTCTTCCGGCGCTCAAGAGAATATTGAAGGAAATCTCGGAGCAAACCACTAAAGACTTTATTTGCTCACTCATTTTTGAATTGGTGAGTGTCAAATGCATGAATTGTTGCTATATACTGAATTGTTCCTTATTAATTGAGTATTTTAAAATTATCGAGACGAGCGTGTACTTTATCGCACTCGTTCTCTTTTAAGTGAATTTATAATTGAATTGTGTGAAATAAAAATTATATTTGTGTTGAATCGATGTCGATTGGAGTGAATCTCATCGACTTATACTTATAATAGTGGGGGACGTCCAAACTCATAAGCTAACCTTGTAACTCGAGCAAACATGGATTTGATCGAAAAGGTTGGTGAACCATGGGATAGATTTTAATGCCATTTTCCTGTCTACAACCGAAGCGGAATATGTTGCTGCCAGTGCTTGTTGTGCTCAATTATTGTGGATGAAAAACACATTGAATGATTTTGGATTGATGTATGATTGTGTGCCTATGTATTGTGATAACACTAGTGCAATAAATTTGACAAAAAATCCCATCCAACATTCTAGGACAAAGCACATAGACATAAAGCATCATTTCATTCGCGATCTTGTTCATAAGGGTGAAATTTGTGTTCAATATATCTGTTCAAAAGATTAAATTGCTGATATTCTCACAAAAGCCTTACCACTGGATCAATTTGTGTCTTTGAGAACAAAATTGTGCGTTTCAGAAAAAATACTCTAAAAAATTCTCTGATCACTTTTTATCGGACGTCAAATGTGTTAGAACGGATGTCCGACAGTGTTTTTGATCATTTTTCCAAAAAGTTCTGGTTCGGACGGTCGTGTCGTACGCTTTACTTCTTTCAGCCATCCGACACTCAAAAATTGCGTCTTATAAGGAAGTCCTCTGCGTCATTCAGTTCATTCTCACCCCTCGTCTCGAACGCAACCCTTCATAGTCTCTCAATTTCAAAATTCAAATTCATCTCTCTTCGGAACAAGTTCCAAGTAATCACTCTGACCATCACCATTACATTCCTATTCCGAACTTATTGCTCATCATAAGTTCTCCTAACTTCCAACTACACTATAAATCCCAATTCTAACCCTAAAACCTAATCACCCAAATTTACTCTCTGTGGACGAATTCTAACATCCATTGTAGTTCATACTACACTTTCAAATTCTTTGACACTTATTTGCATTACACATCACATCAAAAACACACTGCATTGCAATCATGGTGAGGATTAGAGGAGGGTCTGTAAGTGCCGGACACACCTTTAGGCTCAGAGATGAAGAGGATGAAGATGTTCAAATTGTCGAACCTTCCATCAAATCACCCAAAAAGAAAACTGAAAATCGTGGTGGAAAAACGAAGCAGTCTGCAAAGAAAAAACAGACTGTTCAAACCAGAGAACCATCTGTTGAACCAACTGATGAACAGATGGAGGAGCAACAATCTGAAGAGCATCCAGCCAGTGGCAATGAAGAGGAACTGGAGCAGCCCACCAATGAAGATGTAACCATCACGAAATCACCCAGGAAGGGAAAAAAGACCACTAAAAGGAAGAGCATTACTCAACCCAAGGAAAAGGAAACTGCTGATCCTTCAGGGGAACAGAAGGATACAGAAAAAATTACTGAGGAATAGTAAACTACTGAACCATCTACCAGGAAGTCACCAAGGACGAGGTCTGGTGTCCAGAGTACTGTGCCAACTACTCATCGTACTGGAAAGAGAATGTATCCTGCAAATGAGCAACCTGAGACTCAAACTGCAGAGGAACCCACTCCCTTGCCCAAGTTCATTGATGATGATGCCAGGGATAGGTTCGAATGGATCTCGCAGAAAGGTTTCATCACTCAGAGGACCATCATCCCTTACGAATTCCGTAAGTTTGACCTTGAATCTGTTCTCAACCTTTTGAATTTAAAAAATGGACCCATCTTCTGACTATTCCAAACACATACTATTCTGACATGCTTTATCAATTCTTTGCAACCTTAGGAACGGCAGATCACATACTGATCTTATATCACATGTCAATTCTGTTAAAATAAAATTGAATCCTGACATTGTCAACACTATTTTGGAAACCAAAATTGATAATGGTTTTAAATGAAAAATTGCAAACTTCTTTTCATAAGAAGAATTTCCTTCTGCATATCATCATTTTTATGTTGCCAAGTTGATGACTTATTTTCAAACCCATTTTAATACTCCTACTGAAGCAAGATTAGAAGATTTCAGTTCTAAAAATTTGATCATCTTTTTCATAATTTCCAATCTTTTGGTCCCCACAGATGGTCATAGGACCGATGCCAATAAATGGAACTTTACCTGTTCTACTTTTTTTTTAAAAAAAATTTGAATTGATTTCGGCTTTGTTATGTGTAAATTCCTGCTCAAAATTAGCACTGATAGTCGTAGGAAACTTTTCTATGAAAAATTTCTAACTCCTATCTTTGCTCACTTTCAAATCCACTTTACTGAAAAATCTCCAAAACAGTGTGCATCAACTGTTTTCTCCAAAACTTATTTTGAAAGGAAAAATCTAAAATTTTTTTAGGGGCATTGGTATTACAAGGAAACTGTTTCAGAGTCTAGGAGAAAGAATCTTCATGAAACTCCTGTTACCCCTAGGACCTTTCGTGATCAGTCCATATATGTGTCACCTTTCACTATCCATTCTAGAAAGTCAGCCACCAAGTCTTTTTCATCCAACCTTGAAGTCATCTCTCTGCTTGAGGATCTCAAACAACACGTCCTACTCCTTGAAGATAGTTTGATGATGACCATAACATCCGAACAATAAGCCACCTTTATTGCTAAAAGAAATCTGCTTGTGTCTCCAATTTCTCAAGAAAATAAAAATGCACACCAAAAGGAACCCAGAACCGAGCCAACTACTAAGACGTCCCCAGAGTACTGTGCCTCCAGTTCTCAGCCACAGATTAAAGGAAAGGCTCCAGCAACTGAAGAAGAGACTGAAGAGAATGATGATGATGATGATGATGATGACGAGGACACTGAAGAGGAAGAAAATCCTGCTCAGTTTCGCTTAGCAAGGAGAAGGTCTGGATCCTCCAAGATCACCTTTTAGGCACCTTTAGACAAATGCACTTCATATAGGCACTTCTAAGCTTTTGGCATCTTTTACATTATAAACAGTCTGTGTTCTGTACTAAGGATTCTATTTTGGCATCATTTGTGTTTTGAATTAATGTTGTCCTTATGGATTATCTCTCTGTTTTGGATGAATGTTGCTTAATTCTGTTTAACCTTAAAATTCTGATAATGACTGCTGTTGATAATTGCTGACTGTTGCCAATATTACTGCTATTGATAGCGTTGCTGATAGTATTGACTGGATGAGTGATTACTAATTTCTGTTGTTAACAATTGCAAAAAAATTGCTGATGCTGTATTTTTGGCTTGGTAGTCTTGAATGCTAATATTGAATACTAGCCTCTAATATTGATGATCAGATTCTGGTTTATTTAATGATGATAAAAAGGGGGAGAAATGGATGTATAAGTAAGGGGGAGTCATTCTAAAGGGGAGTTTGTATGGAGTCATTCTAAGAGGGAGTGTGTGCCCAAATTATTCTAAAAGGATTTGTGCCCATTAATCTATATGGAAGAGGACTGCATCAAGTAAGGGGAAGTTGTGTCCCGATTATTTTTCTCGATCCATTGTTTTGTCATCATCAAAAAGGGAGAGATTGTTTATCTCAGTCCATAACTTTTGATGATTACAAAACAAATGGATGATTACTAATGTTCTCTCATAGAGACTCTTTCAGAAATGAAGCAAAATAGGTTCAAAGATTAAAGCACAAAGGATGGTGAAGTTGCTGTCGGACGCGCAAGAAGACTGGATCGGACATCCGACAACCTTTGCACAATTTCGAACGAATGAAGAACTTCACCCTCGGATGTCCGAAGATATTGAGTCATTCCTTCTAAACTTACTGACCTTGATCGGACGCACATCTCAAAGCACCAAACGTCCGACAAGAGTTGCGACACTTCAGATGCAAAGGTCTGGAGGGACCGGACGTCCGAAAAGAATTGAAGAAGAACTCCCAGTTTCACCTTCTATCTTCGGACGCATACATTGAAGGTACCGGACGTCCAATATAATTCAAGAGAATTTCTTGAACTCACTGCCTACGTTCGGACGCAAGAAGTTGATCTACCGGACGTCCGACACTACCAATGGTTAGTTAACTCTTCAACTGCCTTCTATCCGTTGGAAGCATTAATTGACGAATTTTTTTGGTTCCATATAAATAGAACACAGTCAACCACTTCAAGAGTACTTTGCACATTGAGACTACATCAGATCTAGAGTGATTCAAGGGCAAGAATACTCTTAAAAGAATATTTGTACTCTTAGTTGTGTAATTTTCGTTTAGTTCTTCAAGTGTGTTTCAATTACTTCAATAGTGTAGTTTTGCGAAAGTTATTTGAATGATAGTAAAACTTTCTTACTTGACCAAGTGTGACTTGGGGTAAGGAGGAAGTGATCCTTCCCTTGTCCACAAGAGATTGGTTGTAAGTTGATCAACTTGAAGAAACTTGCACTATAAAGTGACATTCAAACTCAAGAGGAGTTTGATATTTGGTTTGATACTCTATCTCTTTTACTTTCTACTTTGATATATAAATTACTCATCTCTTCTACTCATAAGCACTTGTGCTTTCTGATTCATTTCTCCATTGTATGGTTTTTTAGAAAAATAGGGCAAGTACTCAAAAAGTGACTTATAACTTAGTCATTTTTTAATCTACTTAATTCATCCCCCTCTTAGGTTGTTTTCGATCCTTACAAATTGATTCACTACAAAAGTAGGTTTCATATGCATGAGAAAATTACTCCATAACTAGCCTAAATAGTAGTATTCGATGATCCAAATATAGCGCTTGCATGAGTAATTAGGGATACCACAACTTAAGGAGTTTTCATTTGTTATTTTCTTATATAAGTTCAGGAGGTTTTACTTGTTATAATTCATTGATAGTCTAAATAATAGAAAAGTTTTAGTAGTGCCGGTAATTGCAATCTTCCTTGTGAGATCGACCCTTAATACCCTATACTCGCTCACGATTCGTATACTGCGATAAATCGCGTGTGGGGTATTTAGGAGTTTATAAATATAAAACTTGATTAGGATGAGATTAATGTTATATGTATACCCTACGCCCATCAAGTTTTTGGCACTGTTGCCGAGGAAGATTTGGTAATATCGGTATGAAAAGTAACTTTATTAGTTTAAACATTTCATTAGTTATAGTGTGAATTTTATTTTCTGTTATTTTAGTGTTTATTGTGTGTATGTGTTTTATAACCTATTTTTCTTACTAATTTTGCTCTTAAATTGTTTAAAAATAATTTTAGGTAATGATGAGGGTAGGTCAATTTGGAGGACAATGCTTGAGAAATGAAAGTTTGGTAATTGATGGTTACCAAGTGCAAAACTCCTTCAACAGAGGTAACCAAGAATTTATTGAATGTATGTCTTTTGAAAATGGTTTAAGGTGTTTAAAAACTAAATTTGATGTTATGATGTTACAAGTTCAAATGGACACAATTATGCATGAAATTGAGTAAGGAAGGAATGTCAATGCTTTTAATTCTTATCATGTGATTTGTGACTTGTGTGAAAGTTATCATGCTACTCATACATGTATGCAAGTATAAAATATGGATTATTATGATGAATTGGGGCATTGCAATCCTTGTTTTGATCAATATGGTCCTTATTGGGGCAATTCTTATGCATATAATTGGGATAATCAATGTACTTATAGTGATTCTCTATATTTTTGTGATTATCCATTCAAATGTGTCCTATATGAAACAAAACCATCTTGGGAGTTGGCAATAGAAAGGTTAGCTAATGCATCTTTACCTTTGGAACTAGAGAGTGAACCATTAACTAATGATTCTAATGCATCTTAGGAGCTAGTCATAGAAAAATGTTCTAATCAATTTGATTTGGCCATAGAAAAGCTAGCTAATGCGACCTCAGATCGTTTTGCTAGGATCGAGAAAATGTTGGATGAATTGGCTTCTCACTTTGGTAAAATACAAGACCAATTATATGCATTGTGTGAAGTTATTTCCTCTAATGATATGCAAGTTGACCCTAGCATGAATGGTGAGTATGTTGCAAGTAAAATTGGATTGCATTTTGATGAAAATGATGAATCTCAATTGTGTTTCAATGAGCAAATATCCATTTTACATGATAATATCTTTAGAACTAATTTTGAATTTCAAGAGGTGAGTTTTAATAACTCATTTTTCACCCCTCTTGAGGAGTGCATTGAAGGTATAGGTTCTAAGGGTATTGCTGCCCAATATACTCTCATGGACGTTCCTTTGGTAAGTTCTCAAGTGATACACATTCAAGATAATTTCTATGAATCACTTGTGATAGGTAAGCCACTTCCATCTCTCTTATCATTAGAACATGTGGCTTTTGCTATAAAATCACCTTTTAATGATCCACCACGGCCTAAAATGGTGGATTATTCGTTAACTAAACCTCCTTTAAAAAATGAGGTGAATAGTCAAGTTAATGACTATAAAGAAGCGCTAGTTGGGAGGCAACCCAATGATTTCTTGTTTTTAGTAGGTTT